TAAATCCTAATCTATTATTTAAAAATGCTAAAATGAAAACAATTGTAGATATCTTATTTTCGATCTCATTATTGCTTTTCTTTGTTTAAATTATTTCCATAAATTATAACAGTCAAATATATTTTCAGAAAAGGACCTATTAAACTAAAAATTAGCCATCCAATCTACACAAATCCAATATCTATTTGTTTATTCAACTTTAAAGAGGTTTAAAAATCATCATCACATAAGATGTTAAATAATGTGAATATTGTTACTGGAATTACATTTGATAAAATAGTTAAAAGTTCAATTTTATTCATTTTCATTTAGGCTTAAAACCTAAAATCAAAATAATTTAAGTAGTATTAACTAATGATATTAGTAGACTTTTTAGTTTTGGGTAAAATTTAAATTAAGTTAAAAGAAAATGAAAAGCAAATTATTTAAATAAAATTAACTTTTCATGTTATAATTGAAAAACTTATTTGATTTTTATCTCTTTATGTTTTTTAAAGTTAAAAAGGAAAATCCAAATTATATTTCCTAAATACACAAAAAAAATTAATAAGAAAATTCTTTATCGAATTTCAGACTTTGTATTGGAAATAAAAATTACCAACTTTAAACATTAAGTCTTAACTATTTTCATAAATGAATTTAATAAAAACCTCTTTACTGATGATTCTTTTAATTTCTAAGTTCTTCCTTTTAAATTGATATAGATAAATAAAAAGAGATATTATAACTTTCCATTTCAGTTTTTGAATAAACTATAAAACTTTTCTTAAGGAAATGTATTTAGAAATATATTTTTCATATACATAGAGCAGTAAACAAAAGGTAAATCCAACAAAAATTTAGAATATCAAATTATCAATATTGCTAAGAAAATCAGCATTTATTTAATACTCTTTAAACTTACCTGCACTCTCTTAAAACTATTTTGAAAAAATATTTGAATATAAATCTGGAAAATTTAAATAAATCAATAATCTTTACAAATTAATGAAATTTAAAGATTCAAAATAAATTTAGAAATTTTATGGATATTCTACATCTAAGTATTTAAAAAATGATTATTACTAAGGTATGTTTAATAATGAAATTATTTATAAAAATCTTCCTAAAAGTAATATTAAAAAGCCACTATAACTCAAACTAATCATAATGCCATAGCCAGCATTTTGTAAAGTCTTAGAAGCTGTTAATTGAGATATTGTCAGAATTTAGGAACTTTAAGTTCAATTGATACATTAATTGGTGATAAAAACATTTCATCCTCATCCAAAATGGTTTCATATAATTAAATACTAAATATGTGTGTATTGTATATTTAGTAGTACTTAAATTCATTTTAGAGATAGGAACTTTTGGATTGAAATTTATAAAATATCCATCAGATGACAATCCAATAATTTTAAATGAATCCTTAGTAGGAAAATTATCTATTT